TTTAAATGCTATTTGGTCTGCTTAGGTCATCAACATAGGATTTTAAATTATCTGCACTTAGGGCCTGGGATTTAGGTCAGTGGTGCTGCCGCCTGCCTTGCAAGCACAAGGTCCCGAGTTCAATCACCAGTACCAATATAAATAAATAAATAAATAAATAAATAAATAAATAAATAATCTGCACTTAAACAAGAAAGAATCCAGCCAGAAATGTGTAGTTCTAGGCAGGATTTGAAACAGGGAGGAAGCAAGGGCATTGCAATTTCCCCTGGGGCTAGAGAGAGCCTAGGCTAGCCAGAACCCTCATTTCTTGCTCTGACAACTGAAGAGGCCCAGGGGAATTGCAATGCCCCTTACCATCTCCTCTGAGAAACCCTGGATAATCTTACACATCATATGTGAGCCAATTCAACTGCTTATTGATACAGGGTCAGCTCATTCTGTTTTTACTTTCTTCCCCCAGAAAACTCTCCTTTAGGTCTATAGCCATAGTTGGGATAAAGGAACCCCCACTAGTCAGAGATTTTTCACTCCTCCTCTGACATGTCACTTTGAAGGCCAAATGTTTAACCATGAGTTTCTAACTGTCCCACAATGTGCTGCTGCCTCACTAGGAAGAGATTTACTAACAAAATTGGAGGCAATTCTCAAATTCCAGCTACGGTCAAAATGGATTTTACTTGCTGGGACTACATCAGGTCTCCCTGACCATATTAGCCAACAAGTACATCCTGCTGCATGGTATAATGGAGTACCTCATAGGGAAGATTCTGTTATGCCAGTAGTAATTAGACTAAAAGACTTCAGCTGATTTCCTAACCAAAAATAGTATCCAATCAAGGAAGAGGCATGTAAAAGCCTCCAGCCTCTCATAAATTAGTTTCTCAAATATGGCCTTCTGAAGGCTTGTCAGTCTCTTTGCAATACTCCCATTCTATCTGTACTAGCACCCTCAGGAGAATATCAGATGGTACGAGACCGTTGCCTCATTCACAAGGCTGTTGTTCCAATCCATTTTCTAGTGGCAGATTCATATACAGTTCTCTCCCAAATTCCAGGAGACACTAATTGGTTCTCAGTGTTAGATTTAAAAGATGCATTTTTCTCTCTCCCCCTACATCCAGGCTCTCAATTTCTGTTTGCTTTTGAATGAGAAAATCTCATTTCAAGAGAAAAGCAGCAATGTACTTGGACAGTTTTCCCGCAAGGTTTAGAGACAGTCTCACCTTTTTGCTTAGGCACTAGAGAAAGACTTGAGGAACTTAAAGCTTAAACAGGGAGTCATCCTACAGTATGTAGATGATATTCTACTTTGTAGCACAACTCAGGGATTATCTAACTATAACACTGTACAGACTCAACTTTCTAGCTAAGAAGGAATATAAGTCTCCAAAGAAAAGACTCAGATATCCCTCCAAAAAGCTCAATATCTGGGATCTATTCTTATACCTGGGAAACAACAGCTGTATAGGGACCAGATCCAGGCTATCTGTGATCTTGGGCCTCCTGCCACCAAACAACAGCTTCACTCCTTCCTGAGGATGGCTGGCTTTTGCAGCATTTGGCTGCCTAATTGTGGACTACCCCAGTCCCTCCAGAGTGACAATGGACCTTCTTTTACCTCTCAAATAACTCAAGGAGTGGCAAAGGCTTTAGGAATAAAATAAAACCTCCATTTCTCCTTGATCCTCAATATACTGGAAAGGTAGAGAAACCCAAGTAGTCCTAAAGCAAGGTCTGGCAAAGCTTTACCAAGAGATGTCTGAGTCCTGGCTATGAGTACTGCCAATAATGCTCATGAGAGTTCATAACATGCCCCAAATTGGGCTGTTTGAGCCCATTTGAGATGTTATATGGGAGGCCATTTCTATTCTGATATGATAGTAGTCCCAGAGACCATGAGGCTCTTATAATATTTTATTAACTTGGGCCAAGTACAGCAGGCTATCTAAATGTTGGTTGTTTTTTGTTTTTGTTTTTTGGTACCAGAGATTGAACTCAGGACCTTGTGCTTGCAAGGCAGGCAGCGGATCCACTGAGCTAAATCCCCGGCCCTGAGGCTATCTAAATGTATGGGAACAGAGTCCTTCCAGATTCTGGCCCAAGAAGACTATCTACTGTCCGTCCTAGAGACTATATAAAAACTTGGAGAGAGGGGACACTTGATGACCAGTTAAAGCCAAAATGGAAGGGCCCCTTCTGAGTAATCCTTGTCACACCCATTGCTGTAAAGGTGGCAGGGATAGATAATAGGATTTATCTTTTTAGAATAAAGTCAGTCCCATCTGAACTGTCCCAACAACAAGATCACACAAAAGGAGAAAGCTCCTGTGAGCCTCTGGAAGACTTGAGATTTCTCTTCAAAAAGTAAAATTCTAGTGCCGCTACAGGAAGCATGGAAATCTGCTCCTCATTTTTGGGCTAATAGTGAAGTTTCTCCTGTCAAATAGGCAGGTCAATGGTCATTAACTCTTTTCTCATTGTTTTCTAACAGGTTTTTCTTTCTTTAACCCAGCCAGTGAGCCACAGCACCTCCAAGTAGTTGGAGAGTACATAACCCCCAGTAGGTAGGGTCTACACCCCCTTCCAGCTTAAAGAAGATATAGAAGACAGAGACCTCTACTACCTAAGCACCTCATAAAAATTATGGGGATATATGTCTCTCATGGGAAAATGAGACAGGAGATTAAAGTGTGGCAAAACTGACTGGGGAAGTAGGCATGACCTGTTAACAAGATCCTGGAACACACACAGAGAACAGTTCCCAAAGCCCTACATGTGGACTTCTTGTTAGAACTTGAGCAGGTTTTCTATACGATGGCCTAGACCTGACATCAGCCTGAGGCATGAGATCCTTGCACTGCCTCTCAGGACCCACATGCAGAAGTTCTTTCAGGTTTCCTCAAGATGTAGATATCATAAAAGGACACAGATGCCAGGAAGAGCTTGTTATCATGGCTTTCCTCATGCCAGCCAACACTGCATCCTCCAGGGTGTACATTTATCTTGCCTTTTACTCTTTCACCGGTCCAGGCTCACTCTGCAGAGTGAGTTTCTTCCTCATTCTTCACTTTTACTTTTTCAAATAAACTGTGCCACTGCTGTTCTGCTCATTTTGTTCAATTCTTTGTTCAAGACTAGATGAACCTAGAATCTAACTCCAGAAGGAGAGGCAAGCAACCCAAAACCTGTTAATGTTTATTTGGTGATCTACTCTTAGAAGGAGCTACTCAATAACAATATTGGGCCTTGATCCCAAGGCTTCCCACTGAGCTAGGCAGCTATTTCATTTTTTTTTTTTATTTTGAGACAAAGTCTCACTATGTTTCCCAGGGTAGGCTTGAATTTAAGATCTTCTTACCTCAGTTTTCCAGAGTGCTGAGATTATAGGCATGTGCTGTGGTTCCTGGTTTATGCCTACCATTCAGGAGGAATTTCAGTTCAAAACGGCTTCTCCCTATACTATCCCATCTGATTTTTACTATTCCCTCTGAGTTTAGCCAGAACATGTTAATTCACTCCATTTTTTAGGTGACAAAACTGAGGTTGGTAGATGCAAAGAGACAGGTAGAAAATGGCTAAACTGGGACCACAATCAAGGTTCTGCAACTCCAAGTCCAACTTTTCCAATTCTTCTACATACTCAGGCTCATGGCTGAGTCTTCATTACATTTGCCTATACATCCCAGAGCCCTAATAAGAAGTCTGGAGAGTAACTTCTCTATCTGGGGGAGAGCAGAGATGGACCCATAGCTCCCAACTACAGATGACCAGTGCAAGAAAAATGGTCTTTCCTTCATGGTAAATGCTCAATAAATACAAAGGTGTGATCAGAACACATGGCGAATATTTATTTTGTTAGTGAACATTTGTAATACATAATGATCTTATTATATAGAGCTGGTGTATGCACATAATGTATCTTCTTTTAAAAAAGTTTTCATCCCTTCAACTTCCCCAACCTCCCTGCTCCTTCCAACTCTTGGTCTCCTTTCCATTTGCAAAAGCTCTATTTTCCTCACTTTTATCCTTTAATTCTTTTTATTTTTCTATTGCCTTTACCTCCCTTCTCTTTCCCCTCCCTCCATCTCATGAATATTTAAATTTTTTGAAATATTGAAGTTAAAGGCACATTACCATTAATCCCCCTCAAAATACTTTCCTTCACTTCTTCAGATACCCTTATCCCATCATTCTTCTCATGATCTGAAACAGTTCTTGAAGTCTTCTTTCACAAATGTCTTCAGTTACACTGAACAAGTCTTGGTTGCCTTGATGTCCTGAATCAATTCAAAACATTACTTTTTATGGTCATTTTTACCTGGAGAAAGCCAGAAGTTGCATAGTGCCTGATCCAGTGAAGAAAATGGATAAGGACACATCATTATGTTTGTATTTGGCAGAAATTGCTATAAATATCTTAAATTGATTCAAGTTATCAAGGCAGCCACAAAAAGACACTCATGAAAGAAGTCTCCTAGAACTGCTTCAGAAAGTGACAAGAACAATGGATAAGTGTGTTCAAAGCAAGGAGGAATATTTTGAGGGAGATTAATGGTAATATGTATTTTACTGTAATAAAATTTTAAATTTTTATTTAAATACTATATTCTTGCATCATATTTTATACTTGTTGAATTAATGCAATAACTCATTTTTGAGGGGAAGGTTAGCTGACTCAACAATTTAGCAGCCAGGTGCTCTCTTCTGTGAAACAGATGGGAAGGAAGGTCTCTTGTCACCTTTGCTACCTTGTATACACCACAGTGTTTCTCCTCTGTGATGTCTGTTTGCCATCCCAACCTCAGAGCCAGCCAACTATGGACTGAACCTTCTATGAACTAGACGAGGATGGTTCTGGTTCAAAGTGCTACAGCTCCCAATGAGGAGGAGGAGGAGACTTCCAGGCCAACCTAGAACTGCTCCCATCACAGAGGAGGCTTCTGGGTCGACGTGCCACAGCTCTCAGTGCAGAGTAGGAGTCTTCCGGGACAACTTACCACTGCTCACAGCACAGAGGAAGCTTCTAGGTTGATGTGCCACACCTCCCATCACAGAGGAGGAGCCTTCTGGGTTGACATGCCACATCTCCTAGAGCAGAGCAGGAGGCTTCCGGGCCAACCTACCATGGATCCCAGCACAGAGGAGCTAAGCCACGCAGGTGCCAGCAGCACCCCTCTCCCTATTGAAATGAGAAGACATGTAAACAAGCCTCAGAACCAGACTTCCAGATCACCTACAGCAACCCCAAAGGGAAACAAGATGGAACACTCTAACACTCAACCACCTGGACTCCCTGAACTAGCAACAAAAGAGGATATGGAAAAAGTGAAATCAGAAATAATTTCTCACATAACAGCAGATATTGTGCCCATAGTGCAAGACATGATTAATAAATCTAGACAGGACACAGAAAAAAAAATAGAGGAGTGGAGGAACATGATGGAATCCCAACATAGGAAACAAATGGAATCCATAAAACAGATGCAAACAGATTTCCAGGAG